GAGAGAGTACAGATTATAGAAAGGTTTTTGAAAACTGGTAATAGGGTAGGTAAGAGCATTTGCTGCACAATCACGAAGAGCAGAGATCAGTTCCCGGCCACCACACAGGCCAGGCACTCTACAAACGCTTTTAACTATATGTCTGATGCTCCAAGGCTGTTTGTTTATTATTTATTTATTTATTTATTTATTGCCTCTGCAAATCCAAGGGTGTGTGTGTGTGTGTGTGTGTGTGTGATACACACAAGTACACCTACATTTACAAACGCATACAAACCTACACACACAAATAAGCTAGAGTAACTGACACTGTCAACTAGAGATTCAGTATCAATTCAACTCTCCCTGGGGAAAAGTGGTCAATGAACCCAGAAAACACTGACTGACTCATCAAATTGGTCGTGAAAAGTCCCTCAATTCTTTTATTCTTTCTCTGTTTTAAAGAAACAAACAAACAAACAAAAAAGCTCAAAGATTAACAAGTTAGCAACAGTCCTTACTCAAAATTTCTATCTTATTTTGAACACTAAAAACTCTGCACAAATGTAAACATTTTTTATTTATTTACTTTATTTATGGGACATAGATAGAAAAACGGAAACTATTAAGGAATATTTTCTAAACAAAATCTGTTAGTTGGTCTTTTTTTCTTTTTCTAGGTGCTTTACACTGTAGTGGGAGTTCTAAGCACAACTGCCTCCTGTCAGCTGTAACACTGAGATCAGCATGACAGCAAGTATTAGAAGGGATTTCAGGTATCTAGTCCATTACTTGCTTTAATTTAGAAAAGCTGCTTTAGAGAATTTCATATATCAAAAATCCATAATCTTTTCAGCATATCCAGATACGGAGTGCCATGCCTCCTTGGCACCCCACCACAATGGCCGTCATTGGAAGGATAGCTCTTCCACAGACACCTCCTAAATTCAGCCAGGCTGCCTAAGACATAAAAATGGGAGGTGAGCAAAATCTAGTCTCTCCATGATGACAATTCATTTCAGACTGCCTTGACACTTGCTGCCAAAATTCTAAACAGTTTTGAACTTTGAAACTATCTTATCATTATTTGTCCCCCTTCCACATATAAGAAAATTTAGGCCCAACTATAAAGAAACGAAGGTTTCATATGAACTATGAAAAATCTCAAGACTGCTGCAAGTCAAATGCTGGAGTATGCTTGTCATAGTACACAGCTATTACTGCGTCAACAGCTTCTATGAGCACCTTCCCATCTTGTAACCCAGAATAAGTCTAGAATAAGAACTTTTATTTTAGGGTAAATGCTAAGTAAACTTAGAAAGTTTGCATCTACAAAGAATTCACATGTCATCTCATGTTATAAATTGAAAGTGCACTCTGGCAATAGAGATTTGTGAGCCAAGCCAGAAAAATTTCCTTCTTCCACTAGCAGTACCCAGATTTCCCCAGGGACTGTCAATCACATTGACCAGACTTCCTTTCCCTGTCTAAAGAACCAGCATAGAATCCAGGCTAGCCAATCCAACACTCTTTCCCAGGAATCTGACTCTGAAGTGAGCAGTCACAGACTGAAACTGGCTGAGGTTCATCTCTCCCAAGCTCAGTCCTTCAGCTTCTCAGGCCTGCCGTGAGCTCACACCCTCGAAAGTTTTCTTCCTACTTCCTCAGTCAGTTGTTGGCTTCTGCAGCCTGCAATTCTTTGGCTCATCTGGCCTCTCAGACAGACATATTAAAGCACGTATCTATTAGTTCTGTTTATACGGAGATAGTTTGTTTATATAGGTGGAAATTCCTACAGTGCAAAAAGCCCCTGATCATTCTGTGAACTAAAAAAATTCCTTCATGTTGTTTTCGGTTTTATTTGTCTGTAATTTTTAAAAGTTGCAATTTCTTATTCAGTTGATCAGAGGCAGGAATACAGTGAGACAGCCTTCAGAATTTTGGCTATTTCTTATTGGAAAATAATTTTGAGGATCTTGAGGGTTTTTTAAGTAAAATGTAAAAATTTCAGAATAATTTAAATGAGTTTAATGTAGCACGCTCCATTTTTAACAAATGTTTATGAATAGGTGTGGGTATGCATGTACTATGGCATATCCTGATGGAACTCTAATTCTCCTGAGACTACCAATAAAGTTTAATCTTTACTTAGCGAGTGGCGTTAGCAACTGGCTGACCAGAATTAGCCATAGAGGTTTATAGGAGGACCCAGATATAGAGAGACACAGTAAGTAGCAGGGAGGGGCTTAGAAAGATTCTCAGGCCCTTTTGAATCACAAAAGGAAGAATGAAGGTGGTCACTTCGCCACCACTTCTCTGAGTGCAGTAGGGTTTTTATCCCAATATCTGACTCCCGAATTTTTACTGATAAAAGAACAATTAGATAAATGCTTCATGTATGCACACAAGCAAGAGTGTGAAGCCCAGAGGACAACCCTGCTACCATTCTCAGAGGTTCTCGTTAACCTGAAGCTTTCCAATTAAGGTAGCTGGTTGGCTAATAATGAGCCTTAGGGACCCTCCTGTCATTGCCTCTTCAAGCTGGGTTTGCACTTCTGTGTAACCATACCTCGGCATTTCACCTGGAGAGCTCAGATCCTCACGCTTGCAAGGCAAGTGCTTTACTGACTGGATCATCCCCTCAGCCCTACTGAGCTACCTTCCTGGGACATGTCCTTCCTTGTTCTTAGACACTGTAGTTCTGCTCCTCTTAGTACCCCTCCACCCCAAAGGAAAAGGGAAGACAGGTGACATAACAACAAAGTCCTCAGCTGCTCAGGCAAAGGGAGCTACAAGTCAATCAGATGCTGGATGAGCCTGGTCATCAGAACTTCCAAGACTAAACTTAGAAACTATGTAAGGTTGAAAATCCCTTGTAGAAAATGCTTGCACCAGAAACATTTTAGAATTCAGAGGTTTTGGATTTGGTAGCATAAGCATATATACAAGTATCTGTAAGATGGAATTAAATCCAAATAAAAATACATTTCTTTGTCATGCTCATGGTATGTACATAGCCTGATAAAAATTTTACAAGGATTTTTTGTTTTTTTAGTAATTTTACTGAATTTACAAGAGGGGTCTGCAAGGTTCAGCAGGTAAAGGCACTTGTCATATACACTGACAGCCTGAGTTCAATCCCTAGGACTTCCGGGGGGTGGGGGTGGAGGCTGATTTCTGTAAGCTATCCTTTGCCCTCCACCAAGAGCACCATAACATTTGAGATCTTAGATTTTCGGATCAGAGATGCTCAAAATATAGAACAAGAGGAAAGATAGAATTGTCAGCTTGCACAAGGTGAGTCCTCAACATCATTTCTTTTCACATAACAGCACCAAATTGGGTACTTTTTTCTTGCTGAGACTGACAAGGGGACAAACTATAGATACTTTTACACTGCCTGATACCCTGACTTGACAGTTCACAGAAATGAGAAGCCAGCTGCAAAGGGATACCAGAACAGGAGTGCTCTACTTAATGAGCAAAAGTCTCTGCTTTGTACCTGACATGTTGTAGGGGAAAATAATACCAAAGAGCATGCTTGCTTCCTGCAAGGCACCTTGCAATCTGACTAAATAATGCATACACATATGAAACAATTACAACAGGAATACAGGAACAACGCCAGCTACAAAATCCAGACCTTCTTCTCCAAGCTGTACCTTAAGACAATTCCCTAGTCATGTCTACTCAGAGGCAGTGAGTTGCTTCCTTTCTATTAACAACCAAATTCTAGACCAAGACAAAGAATTTAATCAAAAGAGTGCTGTGGGACAATGGTTTTACCCTGTAAAGATTTGTTTCTTGTACTTGTTTAATAAAACGCTGATTGGCCCATAGCCAGGCAGAAAGTATAGGCGGGACAACCAGACAGGAAGTAGAGGCAGGACAATGAGTATTCTGGGAAGAAGGAAGTTTCAGTCTGCACTCATGACTCAGTTGCTGAGGAATCAAGATGTGACTGCCTCACCGAAAAAGGTACCAAACCATGTGGCCAACAAAGACAAGAATTATGGGCTAATATAAGTTATAAGAATTGGTTAATAAAAAGAGCCTGAGATACTGGGCCAATTGGTTTATAACTAATGTAAACTTCTGTGTGATTTCTTTGGGACTTAACAAACAACTGCAGGAACCTGACAGGACAGAAACCTCTGCCAACAGCGCATATTTGTATATGATGATGGAAATTCACTCTTTGAGAAAGAATTAAATAATGAAGTAATTTCATGGTTATACACTTTGCATAAACAGGTTTTACTAAATGACAATCTCCTTTATCATTAGCTATGAACACTTGTATTCAAAGAGAAGACAAGATGGTATTTATAAATAAGCAAATTCTAAATCACTGTATCCTCAAAAGTTGTGTTCGCTCAACTTGGGGAGGTTAGAAGCAGCTCACCAATATATAAACATGCTTGCTTACTAAAGCACTCCCAAAGACAAGATAATGGAAAAATTAATCTTGGTTTGGTAAAAGTGTACAATTTACTGAAATTTATTACAAGTTGCTTCCTGAGTTTGGAATCCTTAGAATAGAGAGAAGCTTATAAAAAGGCACTCAGTGCTATGCCATCTGGTTCACAGATCCTTCCATAGCCAGAAAAATTTCCCATTCAATGAAATAACACTTAGGCAATATCAAACGAAATTTTAATAGTACTGCAGCATTCCAAAAGATAGAACCAATTTTGCAACTGTGAACTATTTTCTAGTATCAAACAGGTCAGATAACGGTTAGGTTGTCTCTTGCTTTATAACATATACAAGCCAATAAGGTGGAGCGTAATAGAGGAAGACATTCAAACATGAACCTCTGGCTTATACAAGATGTACTTGTGCACTCATGCACAAAGGGGAGGCAGAGAGAAAGAGGAGGAGAGGGAGGAAATGAGAGGGAGGGGAGAGAATAGGAAGGAGGGGAAAAATGAGTGCATTTCTAACTCTACTGTCCATTCTAGAAGTTCTAAGGCACCATTCACGAACATTCTGCCAAATGTTTCAACATGTCCACTTACCTTATTGTGTTCATACTTGTATGGGATCTTGAGCGTGTCCATAGCTCTGATCATGGCCTGCATGGCTGTGAAGATGTTCTGATACACCAGTTTGGTAAAGCCCCTCTTGTCTTCATCAGAGTATCCTGATCCATGGATGATCCTCATCTGCTTGATGAAGGTACTCTTGCCACTCTCTCCTGTCCCTGGAATGGAAAATGGCAGCAGCACATTAGATCACAATTCCTTTGCTAGTCTCCGGATAACAAAACTAGACACCAGCCCAGACTTTGAAGACACGAAAAGACCTGCTGAGAGAAGCACCCATAGAAAGTCAAAATGCTACCTACAGAGAACACTTAGAAAGTTAGACCAATGACGGTCCATTTCAAAGGCCTAAAAACTACTCCATCTTAGGAAGCCCATGAGCATAAATCTACCAAACACCGACTTGTAACCCTACACCTCTGAGAAACAAGTGCAACTGCGTCATGGGAAAATAACTGAAACTTGACAGCGCCTTCTCTCTGCATTCATGGCAATACCCTTATACTGATATGTTTCAGAAATAAACAAGAGGAGAAGACCTAAAACCTAAGACATTTTTTTTCTCCAGCCTGGAACTGGGGCAAAAACAGACAAAAGATCCTTGACAGACACAAGTTATGCTCTGGACCACAGTATCCACAGTGTTTATTACCAGGGCCTGGTTTAGTTCTCTCTGTCACTCATGAGAAACAACAAATTATTGTTAGGAGATATTTTTCTTCTCTTCACCATATTCAATATATATTTCTAAATTTAAAAACTTCACATTTCTGAACACAAGTGCCTTTGCCATGTCCTTTTCCACTCTCCAACAATATAAAGAACATAAAAAGCCACAGTCTCGGTATTTAAGTATGAAAGAACAGAATGAGAAGTGATGGCTTTCTTCCCAGCAAGTCTGCTAAGAACAGGGAGAGAAGGAAGGGGAAATGGGAGGAAGGAAGGAGAGTAAGAGCAAGAACTGCAAAGCCATCCTCATTCCATTTCGCTTTTGTGATGTTTAGATTTTATTGCTGTCTTCATAAACAATCATGAAAAATCAAATAAATGCTAGAATTTTTACTCAAGTATCTTAAAGAACTGTCAAGCAATACAGAGCCCTCAGATGTTACAATGGAAGGTGATTCTGGACCCAATGATCTACTCTAGGTGGTTTGTCTATTTATTTCACATGTGTGGGTACAAGCACAAAAATGTGCATATGGAGGTCCACAGTGAATGTTAGGAACTGTCTTTGCTCACTCTCCTCCATATTCATTGAGACAGGCTCTTTCAGTTGAGCCCATAGCTCACAGATTTCACTAATATAGCTAGTCAGCCTATTCTAAGTATTCCTTTCACCTTTGGAGCCTTGGAATTATGAGCCCACATTTACGAGAGGGTAGGGATCTGAGCTCCAGTGCTCACACTTGTGAGCTTTATACACTGAGCCATCTCCCCAACCCTATGACTTTTAATAAAGTGATATACAACACCTTGAAATATAAATATAACACTGAAATGTGAATGCTAATTCATTTTAATGGAGTTAATTTGAAAATTATAATGAATATTCTATAAATCTCACCATGAATACCAGATATCTAAAAATGTCTTTCTCCAGTAGAAATGCAACCACAAATTAGCAATTATTATTAATTAATAACCTATAGAAGTTAGTGTCTTTACTCTCTTTAAGCAATGAAAAAGATGTAAGAAAAGCACTTAAAAATTTTGATTTGTACTACTATCCCCATCCAAGGACTTGTTCTTGAAGGCTGATTGTAGGTATGACCATCACACTTCTGTCGGTCCCTTATACTACAAAAACAGCAAAGATTTTTCTAAAAAAAAAAAAAAAAAAGAGTATGTGTATGTGTGAGTGTAGTTATGTACATGTGAAGGCAAGTTCAGAGAAATAGGATCCCCTGTCCCCAGGTATTTTCTGGAAATTGAACTCAGATTCTCTGTAAGAACACCAAGAGCCAAGAGTTCCTAACTGCTGAGTCATCTATTCATTCCCAAAGATTTTCGTTTTTAATGATGGGGGGGGGGTCTGCATCTGTGTGTAGAAATGTACCCATAAATGCAGATGCCCAAGGAGGCCAGATAGGGAGCCAGACCCCATGAATCACCTGACACGGGTGTTGGAAACTACACTTGGGTTCTCTGCAAGGGCAGAATGTGTTCTTAACCTACCACTGAGCCATCTCTCTAGTCCCAAGAGATTTTAACTTATAAGGTTAACGAAAAAGAAAAACAGCAGAGTTAGGAAGTGGCCCTTTTCTCCTGGTCATCTGAAAAATATTTACATAATTACCGCTTAAATAAAAAAGCCAAATAATGTGTTTCTTTAGTTCATTTGAGGCAAGAGCAGTCAACACTTATCTCTTTGGATATATTCCTGGTGCCCTTAAAAAGCATGATGATAGTAATTATTAGTGTTGTTATTAATATATTAATTAATAATTTAATATAATTAATATAGATATAGATTTATTACTGTTGTTATGATTATTTTCCTACTGCCAGAAACAGAGCTGGGCCTTTCTCCCTCTTCCCATTTGCTGGGCGCTGCCCTGAAGACTGTCAGGTATAGGTTTCGTGAACATCTTGGTCTTTGCCTTATATTTACTGCTTAGCCAAGACAAAACAGTGGCAGCAGTGACAAAACAAGAGTTGTGTTCCTATAGTAGCTACTCAGACGTGCAATGTCCACTTCAAGAGACCACAAACTGCTGCTTTCGTCTCTTGAGTTTCTGGCTCTTACCATCCTTTACTACCTACATCTGGTCCACTCTTTCATAAATCACTTCTCAGTTACTCAGTGGAAGTGTGTCAAATGTTTCTGACCAGAACTGACTACAGAAACTAAAGGAAAACAGAGGACAATTAAATGATGGACAGGAATTGAAAGGGAAAAGACTACTCTCTCTTCCTCTCCTGGCCTGTCCTGTAAGTTTTTCTATGAGTTACTCTCTGGTTTGTCAAGTACAACATTTTCAGTACCTCATTTGCAAGACACTCTTTTGGAAGTCAACTGTGATGAAGAAAGAGGTCACTTGGTTAAAATGTAAAAAAGCTCAAACCAGACTTTTAGGCTGAGTCTCCCCTCAGTACTAAGAAACACAGAAATTAATTTAAGCCTATTAGACAGACTGTGTGCATCTGTACACAGAACCCTCCTATATTCATATTCTCTCTCACACACGCATACACACATCTCACACGGGGGGGGGGGGACGACACAATGATTCGTGCTTTCTGGCACCTCTTTTGTAAACAAAACAAAGAAATTGGTGCACATCCTTTACACTTTACCAAGCACTCTGACATACACTATGTTCTATTCTGTCAAAAGTCAGTGATATGGATGTCTGTATCATCACCCTCCTGCCCTGCTCCCTTTTTTTTGCCACAATGAACATATCTTCCATCAAAGCATTTAGTAATACTTAACAAACAAGTCAACATATAAGAGAATGTGAGAACATGAGAAATCTGCTTTCTCCTTCAGTAGCTCATGATGAACATGGTTAGAAAATGTCCCTAAAATGTTGCTTGTATCTTCAGGAACATGCTCTGCACTTCTTATCCTCGCTCCTGGACATACTCAGACTGAAGAACCATGCTACTTATTTTTTTCCGATGCTATTAAAAGACCTATTAATCTAGTATCTTTAAGTGGCTACAGGGAACAGCATGCTTTTTCTTCCCCAACCCCTGACTCTGGATAAAGTGCACAGAGATTCCCCACTTCACTCAGCATCACTTGCCATCAGAACAAATATTAAACACATTTAACAACCTATAATGAAGTACATGGCTTGGGAGGCTGATACACCCCCCCAACTCCCCATGTTCACAGTTCAGGTTTTTGTCAAGATCAACACAACCAAAGCCTACAGAGACTGCCACAATTCTTATTTTTTTATTCAATTCTCAGGAAGCATTTATATACTTATGTTAATTATTCTGCCAATTTGCATTAGGTGATCTGCAAATGGTTGTCAAAAATGACTTTCAAATCCACTCATACATTATCTTAAGGGTCATAAATTAGCATTTATTACTGAAAGCAATCATAGATTTAGTGGTTTGCTCTCTCTCTAATTAGCATTTTTTGTTGAAGTAATCATAAACTCATTGGTTCTGTCTCTCACACTTGAATACCTTTTTGGACTACTCTCTTACCAAAAGAGCTGCCAATGGACAATCATACACACAAAAGCACACTCATGTTCTGAAAATGCAACTTCTACTGTGCTTGTTCTGAAAAACTCTGGTACCCATCTACACACAAGGATCTAGCAAAACAAACATTGATATCACCAGGAACCCTAACAGTCCACCTATCTATCCTCTTTCCCACCGAAGAAAAGCAGAAAACAGACCTAAGAGGACCTCTCCCAGGCTGAAGACCAATCCACATCACTTCTAGGGGGTTTTAGATTATAGGAAAAAAAATGTCAAAATACAGTCAGGAAAACAGTGGTATTGAAGACTATACAATGAATATATTCATTTGATCCTGCCAAAGCCTTTCTTGACTATATTTAAAGATAGTGAAGTCTACAACTGAAGCCCTATAGTGAATATAAAGACTGAGGCCAATGTCCCGACCACATCCTTCTGGTTGGCCAGCTCCCAGATAAAGAGAGAAAAACAAAATGAAAGGCTCATGAAGCTGAGTCAAGTGACTTGTTTCAAGTCCACTGGATTAAAGCAGGAATATAATGCATGGAATCTCAGGCCCAGCAAGTTGAACTTGAGCTACTTCCATATAAACTAGGATAAAGTAGAACCAGACACTTCCAGAATGAATTTCTAACTAGGAACACATCATCCACCCACAATCTGTGAGAATTAATGGTAAATAGTGAGATAAATGTGGTCAAACTCTCGGTCAAATGCACTCAGTGTGTGGTCCACACTCCAGACAAACTATTTTTAAATGTACATCTGCCTTCTGGGTTTGCTCCACTCACACAGAGAACCTGTATTACCTGAGCAACTCTGACAAAGTCACTCAAACCGTCCCTTCACAAAACTGTCCTTCAAGGCAACGACTGGATGTATTTAATCATTAGCCCCAGTATAGTCTGGTAGAAAATACCAGACAGTTTTTAAGATACAGTAGGAAAAAAAAAAAACTAAAATTAGTAGCACCAATTATGAG